AGATGCAGTGGCCTGCCTCGTGCATTATGTGCTGTCGTCACTTGACAACAGAAACAAATCAACTCGTATGTGTTTCCTTGATTATGGCAATGCATTCGGCTGCCAAACCGTGATTTGCCACTAAAAGATCTACTTATTCAAGAAATAAATCCCTCCATCGTCCAGTTGCTTAGTGATTATTTTACTGGACGCACTCAGATTACCCGACTCAGTGGCAAATGCTCCTCTCCACTAATCATCAACTCCGGTGTCCTTCAGCGAGCGGTTCTGTCGCCTTTTCTGTACTCCATTTACATTAGGCCAATGACAGCCCCCACAGAAGCTGACGACGTAGTCCTGGGCATCAATCATCGAACCGCCGATTTCTCACTCAGGCTGCAAGACCATCTAAATGACCTCAATATTTGGTCCAAAGCTCGTAAGCTATCTCTTAATGCTTCAAAGTGCCATGATATTCTTTTTCCGCTACACTAAGGAGCAAGGTACGCGCAGCTCCTTACACAGCGTCCCAAGCTGTTTATTGATGCTGAACTACCTAGGTGTGGTACTGAACTACGCTTTATCTTGCACTCTTCATGTAAATAAAATTTTCACAAAAGTCCAACGATTGTCTTTCTGCATCTCTCATCTAAGAGCCTCCTCTGTCCCTCATAAGTCGATCTTTCGATTTCTCAGTGTCTATCTTCTTCCTCACTGGACGTACTACTCCCATGTAATTTCCCCCGTCTTCTGAGTAAGCATTTCTAGTTAATTATCAGGTCTTTACGGCACTTATCCCGATGTAGCGGGATTCTGGTGCCTACTTTTGTCAGCACACTTCTTTTTACACACACCAATTCTTGTAATAAACTGGCATCTACCATACTGGCCTATACTAGTCATCCGCTTCGCATCGCTTTATCTGAATGTCTATCAACTTCATCCACTAGGCAAAAGTACAAGCTGATCTATGCTCGCCCACAGGTCTACCGCTTGTCGGTTATCCCTTCCGCTTTTTCTGTGAGACCCCAACTCTGTTGTTATAAACTTCACCAGCCGGTTCGATGTATGATGGCATTTCTGTCCGTTTTTATCAAACCGATTCATAGTATGGTAAGTCTACTAGCCAACATGGACATTGCGTCTCTTCGCGGTCTCTGGAACTTATCGATGATCGCCGGCATATTCCGGCTGGAAGCGAACACAATGAAACTCGCAAAGAGCTCCGGGCAAAACTCCGTGCTAGCCTGAAGAGAGACCGCGAATCCTGGTGGTCTCATCGTGCATCAGAGATGGAAATGGCCGCTGCCCTTGGTAATCATCGAAAGTTATTCCGTCTGATACGGGAAACGGGCAGCAGGAAACCTGGTGTTAGTGAAACTATACGTGACTAGAGTGGACAGCGTATCCACAATTTGTCAAAGCATTTGGAGCGTTGGGCAGAGCATTTTGAAACGCAATTTAATCGGCTAGAATTGTTCGATTTTTCGCCGGCCAGTGATCGCCCTGCTCCGTGGGTTGTCCCTTTGGATCCACTCTTTCGCTGAGAAGTCGAATGTGAGGTCGGGCTGTTGAAGTTGAACAAAGCCGCGGCACCAGATGATCCCCATCCAGCCCTCTTCAAATTCGGAGGCTCTGCTTTTGTTGATGATTTACATGAATTACTGGTGAAACTGTGGGAGCAGAAGACTGTCCCAACCGACTGGAGCCGCTCCGTTATTGTTCCCATCTTCAAAGGTGGCTCGCGCTCGGAATGCGGCAACCATAGAGGGATCAGTCTGATCTCCATTGCCTCCAAATTACTCGCCTCCATCATCCTACACAGACTGACTGGCGCTCGTGAAAGCCAGATTCGTGAGGATCAAGCCGGGTTTCGTCGAGGTCGTGGCTGCATCGACCACATCTTCACCTTGCGTCAGTTGTTGGAGCACCGTCACACATATTGGCGGCCCACCCTAGTCGTGTTCCTCGACATCAAAGGTGCCCTCGATTCGGTTGATCGATGTGCTCTCTGGAATTGTCTACTCAGGAAAGGTGTGCCCGAGAAATATGTAAATATTATCCAAGCATTATATGCGCGTAGCATGGGCAGAGTGAGGGCTTACGACAAGCTCTCGCCACGCTTCATTATCTCCAGCAGTGTGAGACAAAGATGCTCGTTGTCACCTTTCGTCTTCAATTTCGCTTTTGACGAAGTCATGGAGATTGCATTTACAGGACATGACTTGGAAGGTGTGGATCTGTTCCCAGGAGAACGACTTCTTGACTTGGAAAATGCTGACGATATTGCCTTAATCTTTGACAGCTCCCAGACGTGCCAAGCGGCACTGGACAGATTGCCATTGGCTGTCAGCCGCTTCGGGCTTTGCTTTGCACCATCGAAGTGCAAAGCGTTCCTCCATGGTTGGCATAGATCGCCTCCTTCGCTGACCCTTGGTGGGGATCAGCTAGAAGTCGTTCAGAAATTCAGCTACCTAGGAAGTTGTATCAGGGTCCGTGGGATTGAAGATGAGATCACAAATCGTATATCAAAAGCTCGAATTGCTTTTGCTAACCGCCATTTATGACACCGGCGCGACATTACTCTCGCCCTGAAGTGTGTGTACAATGCAGCGGTACGTTCGACCTTACTGTACGGTTGCGAAACCTGGCCCCCTAGATCAGCGGACCTGAAGTGGTTAGTTACGTTCGACCACCGGTGCCTTCGCAATTTAGCTCACATCTGGTGAGAACACTTAGCAACGAGCGTGTTCGACACCTTGTTTATGGCACGGATAAAGGAAATGAACCGCTCAGCACCGTCATTTCACTCACCAGGCTCCGATGGCTTGGCCACGTGTTACGCATGCTAGCCCACCGACTTCCACGACGTGCTTTGTTTGCATGCCGGGGTGTGGGTGGAAGAAGAGGAAGGGTGGCCAAGCGATGACTTGGTCGAGAGGAATAAAGGCCTTTACTTCGAAGCTGGCCTCGGTTGGAGCGTCTCGGCTCCCTGGTTGGGGTCCAAAAGACGGTGAACACGTTTGGCTGGATACACTTGCTGACATGGCAAGGAGCCGACCTCAGTGGCTTTGTGTTGTGAGTTTATTTGTCCCTCCCCATCCCTCTTAGCCTCCCCCTCCATCTACGTTCTCATTTCGTAGCGTAATATAATTTTACATAATAATTTTTCTTTTTTGCCTAGTAGCAGACTGGCAGCTTACCGGAACGATGCCTATCTTTCGTTGATAGCTCAGCTGGTATGCAGCTGTTATATTTATTTATTTTTTTTCCTTTATGTATTGCGGCACAGTAGCTGAGGTGTTTCCCACCTCTAGCTAACCTGTTTAATGCTGATGAGTATTTTTCTGTGCTTCTTTATATTATGTTTCATTTCTGATACCGTGTGTGTTTTTTTGTTAAATGTTCACCTGCTAAATGTATATAAAGCCGTTTTTAACTTAACTTGTCAGAAAGCAAGTACCAATGACTCACTTCGTCAACGGAAATTATTACCTGCATATACTGGACCGTTTGTTCGAATGACACATGTGAACCCAGTGGCATTTTTTCCATCTATGCGATTTGTTTTTTCAACCTTTTTATCTTAGTCTATCCGCGATAGTTATTGTACATTGAGCCTATATTGCCTTAATTTGTCTTGATGGCCAACAATCCAGAGAAGTGGAGTTCACCCTCCACCTCCGATTCCGTGGTGGACTAATGCTTTCTGTTGCAATGTTACACGGACTTATCGTGCCGCTGATTTTGGGTTGGTCGTAAGTCACTCTACCAAAGATCAACTAGTTGGGCACCTTCTCAGTTCTTTCTGTCTGTGTTTCCGTCCACCGTTGTCCGGATCATTTGTAAATAGACAAAGTGGTGTGCATGTTGACCGCTTCGGATGGTAACATTATTTCTCCATAATCCATTTCCTATTATCTAAATTTCTCCATGAATTACAGCACCGTATATCAAATTCCGCGATTCACTGGACAGATTTTGAGACGTAACCCTACTGCTTCAACCTTCACGTACGTGCGGATACACCGAGAGAACATTATTGCTCATCCTAGTGATCCACCATCCGTGTGTGCATTCGGAACTCGGTGAACTTGTGAGAAGTTGTAGTTTACCAGCCTTCACATAACTTTCGCCTACCGCGATCACTTATCCAGTAGATCACGAATGGCCACCGCTACTGGGATAGTACCAGCGATTATCATGCTTGTTTCGGATCAAGTTAGCTTCCCACGTTTCGTGATGTCATCTAAAAGTGGCCTCTATGTACGCCAAAGGCGTGCGCTCTCCCTGGTTTAAGTTTTGTTGATTATGCTCGGTATTCTCCGTTTGGATGTAGCTTGGTGCACTGCTGTCAGGTTCCAATAGGGCGAAACGGTGGTTATCCATCGCTTCTGCACATGAGCGAGGAATGTCTGTTTCATAACCGGCTGCAACGAATATCTTGAAACATTTCACCATAATCCTCCATGCTACTGTTCGACCGAGCAAGTTGCGCATTACTTTGATTAATGGTGTTCTGCGGGAGAAGTCATAGCTCTGGGGCCAACACAGTCCTCTGTGCGTTCCTAATATTCGTGACAAATAAGGAAGAGGCTGGCTTCATCGCAAATAGTCACTACTCGCGGAGGTTCGCCACCATCGTCCATGGCCCAGTTGCAGGACTGCAGTTCATACGTGCCATGGATTCAACTCCTGGCGGAATCGGGGGAATGCTCACAGTAGAACAAAATGACCACCCAACATCTTTCTAGATGGATGGAGTGCGTCTCACTGGGGACGGACTGCGATGAATCTCCTGTAACACTTCCTCAGCCCCACGCTACTACTAGCCTATGGCTGGCTTCATTCTTTCAGCTAACTGCGCTACGCAATGACTTACGATCTACCGATTCCTTCATTATTCTGTGATTACCGAAATTAATCCCATATTGCCGTACTGTAGTGACGCTACTTTCAATCACCGTTGCCTTAACCTTTACACTGACACAATAACCGTACAGATTATTTCTTCTTCACAGATCGGTTGAGTCAGAACCATCCCGCATCCAACCCACACCTTATCGCGCCGCTTCCGAGTTTGCACAGTCGGTGTCGCCCACCAAGCCCCCTGTGTCCCGCCTGCACTTGATCAACAAGGTGCATATGATCACCGATGATGAGGACAGCGACGAGGTGGGGCACCGCATTCCAAGGGATCACTCATCCCCTCGAGCTCCTCGACCTCGCTCCCATGAATACGCATCGCTTTTCGGCGCACCAGACGATGCGCCTCATGTGGATTCAGTGGATATTGATCAGCTGCTCTCAAGGTCACGTCTTCCACCAGATGAGACTGTTGCGTAAGTTGATATCGCCACCTGCGATGTAGTTTTGTTGATCTAGCCATCTTCTTACGAGAACTAACAACCCGTTCGCTTGCTTCTGATTAACAGTAGATGGGACTTTCTGCCCGCTGTCCTTTTTATGCTGTGAATGAATCTATTGGTCATGGGTCACTATGATATTTATGGCTTTTAACCGTTGGAAATGGTGGGATATGGCGGAACGCATGTCAGGTAAAAACGAAAGGAAAACTGTTTTAATCGCATGATGTTAGTTGCAAGAGCCTCGGTGTAGTTGCGCCATTTACTTGGCTTCACTGTGTCTTATGTTACTGCATAACTCGCTAACAGTTAGCCGAAAGCATTTAACCAAACGCACGGTCTGGGTTGTAATAATAATGGTTGTTGGGCAGAACAAATAATAATAATAATAATAATAATAATAATAATAATAATGGGTATATTTTGGATACATATTGCACTGATGCAACTGTGGTTCTACATTAGTAACTATACAGTAAAATGAAAACGCATAGCTTACGAATAGGTGAATTGACTCGCGATTAGATGCATAAATACTCCCATGTTTTCTGCTCCGTCTGTGCTCGTTCACTTGCGTATTGGGGTGCGTTCGAACAAAGCATCTGCATATTTGTTTTATGCAACTCTATGTCCGTAAATAAAATGGTTATATAATACAGACAAAGGGGAAGTGCGAAATAGGCAATCCATGAGCTAATTCACTCCAGCTGCGATTACTGTCTTCAAGTGTACAGTAAAGATATACTACTCACAATTTGTCAGTAAAGGTACCTCTGTGAACTATGATTTCTCAGTCCCAGCAACGTCGTTGAATTATTAATTCGCATTATGTGAGGTCTCCAGTTTCTGATGTGGCCTATCGCGGGGTCCATCTAGGAAGACTGAAGGTACGAATTTGACCAAATTTCTCTTACTTCAAAACAAGTCATCAATTTGACACTGCAGTATGACCTAGATAGGCTCATTAGCGCATCTGATGTAGTCGAGGAGAGCCAGCGGGACATAAGCTGTCCGTGTAAGCAGTCCAAGTTTGATCGAAACCCCACCGTATTAATGAACCTTCGCTCTCCTAACACAACCTGACGGGCTTCAGTAGTGCTCAGATGTTGTTCTTACTAGATGTGGGGTGCTCTGTAAGCACCGGCGTTCAGACACGAATAGTTTCAGAAAAAGGTTTATCGATTCGTCATAAGGCTACTATATCACGAAAGAACGACATTGAAATGTGAACAGCGGATAAGGGTACATGTTCGGAAACCTTGATAGCCTGTGTCCAAGCTAGGTGATTGGTCCCACAGCGATCAGAGGTGTGTGCGGCACAGTAGCTGAGGTGTTCCCCGCCTCTAGCTAACGTGTATGATGATGATGATGATGTGGTGTTAATCACACAATGTGTCCGCGTTACACGCGTCCAAGGTGGTTTCCTCATGTACTTTTTGTTCGAAATGGCTATGTTTCTGACTTGCACAGTAACTTTGCAATACTACATTCTTGTGTAACTTCCTCTGTATCGATTTAAATATTCGCACTCCTTTGCAGAATGTAGCTACAGAAACCCCGTAATACTTATCGCGTTTTACTTTATGCGTCCTTGTTCTGACTGGTGTAACTATCTTCGGGCCGCATATCCCATTGGTTTGTCATCCCTGTCGCCAGTTATATTCATCGGGCTTGTTCGTTCTGTAGCAGTGTAAGCATATTCGTTTTGTTGGCACCCTGGCCTCTTTTCTAAAACAGGTGGTTTTCACGAAACGAGAGTATCAACCATCGGTATTGATTGGGTGTTGCTGCTCGTGCAAACATGAGTGTATCAGACCAGCCGGTAGTGGAAGGTATCACATAACTGCCTTGTTATCCAGAGGTTATCGGTTTGAGTCTGCGTACTGAACCGGACGGTCTTCGCGGTGTCCTTAGCCCACGCGCGACCGGTGGTGGTTGCGTGGCATCCAAGCGTCGGTACGCCATACCGCTGATGTCTCTCTGTCATCAGGCGCTCATTAGACATACTGTATTGTCCCAGCTTCATGAGATCCCGTCTTTAATCTAACCGCGGGCCTCCGAATTGAATATGCCTAGTTTCCGTTGCGGACATGTAATACCAAATTGAGCTGCATCCAATTTCCAGCACCACTTCTTCTCACCATCATCATCAGCAGCGGCAGCTCACTGATAATTTGTACTGGTGTATCGTTGCAATACAGCCACTCTGGTGAGGATTATTAAGAGGGAAGAATGGAGCCCATTGTGACGTCTTGCAAAGCACCCGGGACCATGACGCATCCAAAGGACAATTGACGCATACTTCCAGGCAGCTGTCTATCTTGCGGTTATTTGAGATAGCTTCCTTAGGTCTATCGCTTTCCCACGTAACCATAAAACTTGCTGTTCTGATAGCTCAACGGCATACAGGTATTGAACAATTAGTCCGACTAGGAGACAACGACAGCTATACCATTGGTGTCGGTCGTGGGCCATGCTCCGTTAGGCCGCGTTCCCGTGCATGGTGGGTCATCGATTCCAGCTTAAAGGACCAGACTGACGGCTTCACGTTTAGTCATTGGTGACTTCGTTTTCCGCTGTCAAATGGGCGATTGCCAGCCTCGAGCCTACATCCGGTGAACAGTACAGACTTCCCCTCGGTATACAGTTGATTAGCATATATGGTCCATTCCAAAGCCAACGCGAATTGTTCAATGTTTTTAGCCATTCGGTGGTTACTCAATCTGGTGCCGGCCTGCTTATCTCATCGTTGCGAATAGACTGGTGCTGACCGACAAGAGCAGCGTTCGGTCTGCAACGAGGACTTGAAGACGTCTCACTTCAGATCGCAAGGGCCCCCATTGTGGACATATATGCATTGTGCTTAAGTTTAAGCTTGATTGCCTGCATGACCATATATATCGCAGCTTCAAGAACGCGTTTCTAGATCTCTCAATATGTGAATTCATTTCGTCGCTATTAATGCAACTGCTGAGCATTGGGAGTTGACGAATTGTCTTCAGGTTCACGCCGTTAGTGGTGGTCCTGCATCAGCATGTTAAGATTGTGAATCACATGTCAAAGGATAGAACCGCTCCTGAATTAACTGTGCCCGTTTCTAGCTGTTGCATTGCCGTCTGGATAATCCATATCCATCAGCTCAGTGCTCACGTCGCGGATCTCCGTAGGAGAGTACTCGATCGCTACTGCGATACTTGTTGAATGCCGATTGTTTTCAGCGGAACGACAGAAAATTCACCGTTATGTTTAACATTAATTGAGTTGTTCGACTACACAGTGCTTAGAATGATCCTCTGTGTACAGTACTCCTCTTTCCGCGTGTGTCATTTAGTCAAATTTCCTGCATTTTGCCGATGACATTAATATATGTCGGGCGATCATTTGTCAGGTAGAATACGATATTCTGCAGCGAGACGTGTACCGTGCTTTGGGATGGTCGAAGACAAATCGACTTCTGTTTAACTTGCACAAGTGTAAAACTGTACGTGTACGCAACAGGCCTACTAGCGCGTACAAGCTTCGAGACCACGTATCAAAGATCGTCGGCCCGTAGCCTAGAGGTAACGAGCTTGTTTCGTAATCTTGCGGCACGGGTTCGAATCGGCGTAGGGGTTGACGTCCTCGCGGTATACTCAGCCTACATGCGACTGGTGGTGATCGCACGGCAGCGAAGCGCCGTTACGGCGTACAGCTGACGCATGCGTGCGTTTCACTGGAGTGCGACCTTGGGGTAGTAATACAAACGTCCTGGGCTGTTCGATGCAGTCGTTGAAGGCATCCATAACTCCGTTTTAACATGTTGGTCTGTTATGGAAGGCTCGTTGGAGGTTCGATCGCTCTCTCTTTACCCAAATGCCCAGTGCGTATGTGAGGCCACACATAGAGTACGCGATCCAGACCTGGCAACCCTGATTAGAACGCGATCTGGTTACACTGGAGACCGCACAGCTAAGAGAAACCAGGAATGGCTATCTCCACCTGACGAGTCTAAACCAAGATGAAACCGCGGTCGTGGTGTGCCAGGGTTGGGAAGAGCAACACCCAAAAATATCCATTCAGGATACGGTCCTCGAGACCGGAATGACCGAGGTTTACCTCAAAGTGAGCCAAGGTCTCAATAGAGGTTGCGAGTCGCAACCCAACCACACAGCTTGCTTCCTAAATTCAGCTTTGAAATACTTTCCGCTGTGCCACGCGTTGCTCGCGGCTCTCAGTAGCATAGTGTTCAGGGCATCAGCCATGAAGTACTAAGCTCTGAGTTCCACCCTAGCTCAGGCTATCTCCACCAAGACGAAACCGCGGTCGTAGTGTGCCAGGGTTAGGAAGAGCAACTCCCAAATATATCCAAACCAAGAATTAATAAATTCTTTCTTCTCGGACAATGTGCGACACGCCTTAATAGGCATGATCTTGCTACAGGTACAAATAAAAGTCGGGGAACGTATGGAAAATTGTACAGGTTTGCCATTAACATTGGAGCTGTGAGTTTATACATGTATGTGGGAGTGTATGTGTGTAACTGTGCCCCATGCTGAGGCTGATGTTGCATTCTTGATGCTTCTTCACCACAGTTGGGCTAAACCAACTTACACTTAGACTAGGTCTCTTTAAGCTGCATAAATTTCATTCCAGTTTATTTGGTTAGTTTTGTCTATCTGAATAGTCTTCTACTAGCTGGCCCCGTCGCTTACGCTAATTGCGCTTATCTTCGGTAATTTTGTTGCATTTGTAGCATTTTTGAGTAACTTGTGGACATTCTTTTTCCTTATCGCGGATTCATTGCTAGCCAGCTTACTTCATATGCTATTTTAGCGAAGAGTTATGCCACCGTATCTGTATGCATTATTGGATTTATTTTATTTTATTTTGTCGTTTCAAATGATTGGCTGTTGCGTGATATCCCCGGTGTGGCTGCGCTTGATGTGCATGTTGACAAGGTGCCTACCTGTCTATTACCCACTACCTCGTCCATACTGGCTCCAGGAGACAGTTGGTCGTTGCTGGAGGGGACGGGGTGCACGGTCCTTGTGGCCGTGCTAGGCTCGCAGAGTGCTTCCATGCACTCAGTGTGGAGCGGACTACGGTCCAGCCACCGCCTTGTGTGCACTTGATTCCCCAAATACAGTGTGCTTGTGTTTGCCTGTGAAGGAGTGTGGGCCGGCTCCGTTGATGAAACGTGGCTCCCATCCACATGCCTCCTGGTCTTATTCCTTCGGGTTAACACTGGATATGGGGTGTGTGGTTGGAGCTGTGGGTGGTGCTGCGCAAGCCACCCATGGTCCCTCTGTAGGCGCAGGCGTCCTGTGGCTGACCACAGTGACAGGCAAATCCGAAACCGGATGCCGCCAACCATGTGTGTAACTGTTATCCGATTTTGAATTCGTGCCGCTAGATTTATGATTGAGCGCGTGGATAGTGTAAGGCGCGATGATTGACGTCCGCGGTGGGGGTGTGTTTGGGTGGATAACCATTGAACCGTAACTAGTTGGAGGTGAGTCACATCCTCCTCGTCGCAGTGCCGTTAACTAGGCATTAGTGGCTCCTAATAGGGAGAACGCTTACCAGGCGAAAACCCATCATGTCCCGGATCACTGTCGCCAAACATTTTCTGGAACGGGGTAGAGCCGAAGCACCCAGCTGGTGCCACGGGGAAGTCAGTGGCATTGTCGGTTAAGGAGCCTCGGATTGATGATAAGCTATAGGCGAGTGATTGGGCGCTTGACAGTCAGGATCGCAAGTTCAGTATTTATGGATTGATTCAGGTAGGTTGCGGTAATTGTTTGTTTCAGCGGTTTTTTGTAAGCAGACCACGGTTGTTCCATCTCCTGGATTTGGGTATCCAGATCCAGTTGTCCAGTGGTAGTGGACCAGGAAGGAGGTGAGTATGCTGGAGGTCCGATATGATCCACCTTTGTCATAGTAGGTTCATTTGTTCGCAGACTCACAGGGCAGGTAGGGCTCTTTGGTAAGTTCCTGTGAATATCTTCAGACCTCGGAGAAGAGAAGAGAGAAAAAGGGAAGCAGAGACTACCAAGGACACGTTTGACATCATGGAATGTGAATGTGAACATCATATATATTATGCCGTCAAAAATGATAACAGAGGAGAAAAGGGCAAACTGTGTACTTTGTATTCAGCGACCATCTAAAGAAGCTTTAGCAGTGAAGGTAACTTTATTACGGAAGACGGTGTTCAAGGAGGCTAGGAAACATTATCAACAATGGGAAATAGGCCTGATAGCATCTAAAGTGTGCGAAGCAGCTTCTATGTGTTGGGCAAACCATGATTGGAAGTCTGCGGAAATAACAAACTCAGTAGCATTAGCAGTAGTCAAAAGGAGTGTTAAGCTGGGCGAAGGGTGCCACTAGCTGACCGAAATCATAGGAGCCTACGAGGCTGATGCAAATAAGTGTGTGATGAGGCACTTTGAAAGGTCAAGCGAAAAGTCATAGTAGTCCACTTAGAAACAGAGGGTTAATGAATAGGGAAAGAGTCAGCCGTGGACCAAAATCTTTGGAGCTCATGAGGCTGTGAAGGAATTGTTCCACCTACCATACCATCTGCGACTGAAAGCCCTGAGAGTGTATGGCGGAAGATATCGCCATTTACGGAGTGACCTTATTCTGGCGTACCAAATCTCGAAAAGCCCCGGTCGTACTTGCCCCTAACTCCCGAAACCCAGTCGCAACACAAAATTTAGGGGTTACTAGCTGAAACTGACCACCCAATGCAGTCTGCTGGTATGTCGCCGGAATCACTTTTCCCTTCGAATTCGTCGACCGCGTAACGCTGTTTCGACTTGTCATCTCTGCGCCCGCGCTGCACACTTTTGCAAAACGACTCGACGTTGCTTTACCCCACCTGCATTAATTGATTTGATTACTGTTCATTATGTGATGACATGATGCAGACAAACATGGAGCTCACCAACTCCACGAAATCGGAGTAGACGGATGCACATGTTTTCATCCCAGCAGCCCACAAGCTACACAACTCAGCTAAAATCCGGATAGCACCAGACGCCTTTCACACTATTTGGGGCTCGTCAGTGGTGCGCATTCCCTCTCTCCCCTACTGGGGATCGAACCCATGACCGCTAGAGGAGGTAGATGCCAATTAGCCAGCAGCTTAAGCCACTGAGCAATGGGGGATGGCAGCTGGGCCACATAATTTACAGGCTGATGGGATAAAAACATTAAAAATTAAATATCCTCCTACTCATAAGTGATATACCTGTGTGTTAAGGTGGATAACATAGTGAGTCCACCGACACCCGTTTGATTTTCTTGCATTTTTTTAAACTTACCGAGTTCACACAAATACTCCCGCGTGACTTGTCAAGCCTTGGGTTTTTTTATCCGTATTATATCATCATTCCATTGTAATCATCGGCTGATTCGAGCGCGTTTTTGGAACCAACTTGCGTAATCGCCTTCACGTTACGATGCGCTTTCGCTATGTTCTCTTCTGTCGTTTCTATCTCCCATCGTATGTAACCGTTTGCACTTCCTGTTGAATTGCTATGGAAGCATTTGATGACCAAAGGGCATCAAGGTGTCACACTATCTCCTTCATCCTCTTCTCCTACAGTCGATCACTTGACTCTTGGATTCATGCTGCTCAAGGATTTAATCCGAGCAACGGACTCACCGACACCTACGGGATGAGTAAGTTTTAAGTGATGTTCATTCACTGCATTGGTCTGCTGGTGTCTTTTTGTTCTTATGTGACTTTCGACACCTTTTCTTTTTCTGTCTTCTCATTTGTATTGATTTTAAAGATTGCAAAGATCAGTTCGGCAAATACGAGACTACTCATGAGCCGTATGCTTGGTCTTCATGGCAAGTGCGTCCAATTTGGCAACATCCATTAGGTTCGTTTTCAAGTGGGCCGGTCCCCTGTTTTCAGCTTCCATCTAACTCGCTAGAGACCGAGTTATTTTCGTTGTGGGATTCGTTATATTGGCTCCATCATTACATACTACCAGCTGCTTTGTCTGACATCCACTCTATCGTTTACTGTAGGGGTCACCAAACGAACGATTGAAACAGTGACTAGCGCGCGCCCGATAAGTAGCACTTCTTGAGCGTTATCTTTGGCTTTCTGAGGGCGTTGTAGACAGTGCATACGGATAGGTGGTTTTTTCTCTCACTCAACCGCCGCTGCTGCTGCACCAAAGTGTCCTCGGAATGCCGTTCAGCGGCGTCTTCAGCGCGCTGCAGGACATCGGGCGTCAGCTTCTATCGGTTGTTTCCACATTTGTGCTGAGTGTTCGTGTCTTCTTTCCTGTATGCAGTGATGTTTCTTACCGTGCTCTCGTTGACATCGGTGACTTCTGCAGCTTCCTAGGTTGTTTTGCTGTCGACGAACACAAACCTGGTGAGGATCTCTTTCTGTGCCGATGACGTTCGCTTGTACCGCCGCAACCTCGGAGATGCGTTCTCTCGTCGCTCATTTTGGTCATTTCGTGCAGCACATGGCTAATAAAACTGTGCTGTGTTTACTGGAGTCTTGTTAACCTACATTGTTCCAGTAGTCGAGCAGCTGAACAGGGTCGCCCAAACCCACAGAAGATACGCGATGGCACGTAGAGAGACAGTACACAACAGGATCACCGGCTTTGATCGAGTTGAACGGGGTCCATGATCAAGAGCATTGAATGTACAACCGCCCACTGCTTGCACAGTTCCGTTGCATTCATGTAAGCACAATGTGTCCTGAGCATCGTCCGGCCGCGTTACTCGCCAGTCCTTGCTAACAAATTGAAACAGTACGGCAATAAAGCCAAACTGCCTTCGGTGGGCTTTTCTACTAGTGGAGCAGCTCCATAGGTTCGCCCATACACCCACAGAAAATACGCGAAGGCCCATGGATGGACAGGGACAACTGGGTCAGCGCCTGTCTGCTTCACTACTTACGGTCCAATTAATCGAATTGGCCTTGGTTTACTTCAATGGGAATCGCAATCCATACAAAACGAGTGCTTCACAATGACCCTTCAAAGTTGGATAACATTTGGGTGGTTGTGTAGTGTTTTCGGGCGGACAACACCATGTTTCCATCTGCTGGGTAACACTTGTTTACATCATAACAGACTGCACGAATCGGAAGTCTGACTTTCAACTAGTTGATGTGTAACGTCACAGGCACATAGACTATACGAAAGCCGATGGGGAGGGAGGGGGAAACTGATCGAGGTTCACGACCGTGAAAAGGGTATGCAGCGGCACCAGCTGCTTACACAATTCAGTTGCACCAACATGACCACAATGTGGTCTGAACATCGAGCAGTCACCTTACTCCTCATTTCTTGCTGGCAATTTGTTAATTTTCTGCTTAGAATGCAGCGTGTCCAATTTGGTTTGCAAAACGTCCAATTTCCAGTGAATATATATATATATATATATATATATATATATATATATATATGTATGGTTGGCGGCATCAGGTTTCGGATTTGCCTGTCACTGTGGCCAGCCACAGGACGCCTGCGCCTACAAAGGGGACCACGGGTGGCTTGCGCTGCACCACCCACAGCTCCATCCACACACCCCATATCCAGTGTAAACCCGAAGGAATAAGACCGGGAGGCATGCGGATGGGAACCACGTTTCATCAACGGAGCCGGCCCACACTCCTTCACAGGCAAACACAAGCACGCTGTATTTGGGGAATCAAACGCACACAAGGCGGTGGCTGGACCGTAGTCCGCTCCACACTGAGTGCACGGAATCACTCTTCGAGCCTAGCACGGCCACAAGGACCGTGCACCCCGTCCCCTCCAGCAACGACCAACTGTCTCCTAGAGCCAGTATGAAGGAGGTATTGGGTAATCGACAGGTAGGCACCTTGTCAACATGCACATCAAGCGCAGCCACATCGGGGATATCAAGCAACAGCCAATCACTTGCAACGACAAAATGAAATAAAATAAATCTAATAATGTATACAGATACGGTGGCATAACTCTTCGCTAAATTAGCATACGAAGTAATTTGGTTAGCAATGAATCCGCGATAAGGAAAAAGAATGTCCACAGGTTACTCAAAAATGCTACAAACACAACAAAATTACCGAAAATAAGCTCAATTAGCGTAAACATGGCCAGCTAATAGAAGACCATCCAGATATGCAAAACAAACCAAATAAACGAATGAAATTTATGCAGCTTAAAGAGAACTAGTTTAAGTGTAAGTTGGTTTAGCCCAACTGCGGTGAAAGCATCAAGAATATAACATATATATATATATATATATATATATATATATATATATATATATATATATATATATATTCAAGCGGCATCACTCTTGCTAGTCTTGAGTAAAGTGTTTCTGGCTGCATCAAATCATCAAGCATGACTAAAGCGGTGCTAATATACACATTTAGCGTCGCCAAAATGTATGTACCTAAACAGTTTGTGCTCCAAACATAATTCCCTTCCAAATGCTTGCAATTCGTTCTAATTATTTAGCAAATATGGCTTCAAAATGACACTCATCAATTAATGGCGTCTTTCGAGCTTCGTTTTATATGATGCATGCATCATGGGAGCCGATCGACCGCAATCTGCGACACAACCTTGTAAGGTAAAGGGAAACAGAAGTTTGCATGGGTTATTGAGTTGATATATGGTCGTTCATGTCCATGTTCCGAAGATGTGAAGTCTCTGCTAGTAGCTTATTACGGTATCACTTGTAAGAACTATGAGATACCTCACGTTAGTGCTCAAACACTTTTAGGTCACTGACAACTCGATACGTAGTATCAAATGTCACTTGTAATACAATGTCTCATGTTCCACGCTCTTTATCAAGCAACTTTGGGTGTAGTCGGTGGGCCGAATAAACGGATATCGCAGGTGGTATTTCTTTGACCCCGGATCCACTGCATTGTTTCAACTGCTTTCATTTTCTTTTGACTATTTCTCTGCTCAAAATGACGTTACGGGGCATTTTTCCGACCACCTACTTTATCGCATTTTTCTTCTATGTTTTGTAAACCTTGTGTATTGCTCGAACCCATGCTTCCTTTTCTTGAGTGTCACTTCAAGCTCTATCGTTTAACTCTATTAGAATCGAACCGAAGTCTAGCTAACAAACAAGCTTCCTTTATGCATAGACACGAGCTGTTTATGATGTCTATTAATTTGGATTGCTATTTTGTTGTTACTGTTTTTCACTGGTTGGCTGTCGTTTTCCCTTTTATGACATCCAATTGAGTTCATTGGTCCGCACACACTTCCTGTTCGCTGTGCTCAGTACACTTCGCACCTGTCATGTCCTGGGCCCATGTCGGGCTTTATTCGTGCTGGGTTGTAACAGTGTTGCCCCTGGTAACTTGCAGGTAATGACGGTCTGCTATCGTCCCCCATAGCTTAGTGGCGTGAGCTGTGTGCTGGTTGGTGCTAGTTGCTAGCCTTCATGGGTTCGGTTCCGTGAGGGTAGCGAGGGAGTGCACACCACTGACGAGCCCCAATAGGGTAAAATGGCCGGCTGGTGCTTCTCCGGTTTGTTGGGCAGTTTATCTGGCTTGGGAGTTGCTGCGACGATTCAGTAACATTTCCTGTTTGTTTCCATGTTTCTCCCTAGTTGTTCTGAGACGGAGATACGGCTACTATGGAAATAACTCGCTCTACTGCGATGGAGAGGATACGTCCATTTCCACCTATCACACTAGGCCAATCAGACCGAGTACCCGTATCTGACCCGGCTCACGCTCCGCGCTCTGCTCACACCCTTACAGAGAATCAGTGACGCTCTAAGAGCTGGTGCGTATCCGGATAAGTTCATTCTCAAACATTTGAAAGAACGCAAGATAACACCACCGTGAATTTGTGTACGCAAGTAAGAACTCGTTGTGCATTTTCTTTTCAAAGCCGACAGTACGTTTGATGCCCTGTCTAAACGCCCAAAAGACGCTGTTGCAAAGATCTACTTCGCGGCTCGCCTACGCATAGTATACTACAACAAGCCTTTACTCGCGAAACCTTTGGCTCGACCATTGCTTGTTTATCAGTACTCGTACTCGTGTGGTGCACGATATGTGGGTCGTACTGCGAGGCGCCTATCTTATAGGATTTGCGAACACATTCCGTAGTGATTTTACAGAGGCGAAGCGTGGTCTTCTTATGGCTCCATCCTGTCGCACCTCTTAGATTGCGGCTACGTAGGCTCGGAAAATGACTTCATGGTCATCTGCTCCATTCCTGTGCGTTTCTCGCGACTCTAACGAGACTTACCGAAAAAACATCCTTACTCACAGTATCTGCCTCCTTACGATTCATTCTGTTAAATGGGAATTGCTGGAGGTTAGCATCCTTTGTGATTCAGTCAATTTTTTGTGCTCATTGCTTTTCACTGCGTTTCGTTCATACGTGTCAATCGTACAGAAGCTGATGTTTCAGAGGGTGGGGAGTTCTGGTCTGGTCACCTGGTTCTCTATCAAATACCACAAAGGCTCGTAGGACGCTGTGTCAAAGCCATTGTGACCGGTATATGGTCACTGACCACTCACTTCCGTTACCAGAGATGAGTATCTAACGGAGGGCGGATGAACAACCTTGTTGGTCACCGGCTCCTCTGTGGACTGCTTCCGAACACTAAGAAGACGAATGTGCCACCTAACTGTCTACGGTCTTCGTGTTTAGCAGCTGCGTGAATGCTCCAGCTACATATG